GAAGGAATGCATCTGGATTCATACTATGAGGTATCACACTGATATCAAAACCAGAAAAGACCTGCACACACAAAAGAAAGAAAGAAAGGAAGAAAGAAAGAAAGAAAGAGAGAGAGAGAAAGAAAGAAAGAAAGGATGGAAAGAAGAAAGAAAGAAAAGAAAGGAAGGAAGGAAGGAAAAGAAAGGAAAAGGAAAAAAGAAAATTACAAGCCAAACTTGTAACTTCTGAATGTAGATGCAAAAAAATCCCCTGTATATGCACTATATTCATGGATTAGAAAAATGAATATTATTAAAGCCATACCACCCAAAGCAATCTACAAATTCAGTTCAATCCCTATCAAAATTTCAGTGACATTTTTAACAGAACTAGGACAAATAATTCTAAAATTTGTATGAAAACACACACACACACACACACACACACACACACACACACACACACACAGATCAATGGAACAGAATAGCAAACCCAGAAATAAACCCACACTTATATGGTCAATTAATCCACATCAAAGTAGGCAAGAATATACAATGGGAAAAAATATTTTCAGTAAATAGTGCTGGATAAAACTAGGCAGCTAGGGCTTCCCTGGTGGTGCAGTGGTTGGGAGTCTGCCTGCCAATACAGGGGACGCGGTTTCGCGCCCTGGTCTGGGAAGATCCCACATGCCGCAGAGCAACTGGGCCTGTGAGCCACAATTACCAAGCCTGCGTGTCTGGAGGCTGTGCTCTGCAACAAGAGAGGCCGCGATAGTGAGAGGCCCACGCACGGCGATGAAGAGCAGCCCCCACTTGCCACAACTAGAGAAAGCCCTCGCACAGAAACGAAGACCCAACACAGCCATAAATAAATAAATTAATTAATTAAAAAAAACAAAAAACAAAAAAAACTAGACAGCTATATGCAAAAGAATCAAACTGGATTAATTTCTCATATCATATACAGAAACAAACTAAAAATGGATTAAAGACTTCAATGAAGACCTGAAACCATAAAGCTCCTAGAAGAAAACAAAGGAAGTACACTCTTTGACATCAGTCTTAGCAATATTCTTTTGGATCTGTCTCAGGTGAGTGAAACAATAACAGAAATAATTAAATGAGACTACATCAAACTAAAAAGATTTTGCACAGCAAAGGAAACTATCAACAAAATGAAAAGGCAGCTTAGTTGGAAGAAAATATTTGCAATTGATATATCCAACATGGGATTAATATCCAAGATATACACAGAACACAATTTCAAAATATTAAAAATATGAGTAGAGGACATGAATAGACTTTTTTTTCAAAGAAGACATACAGGTGGCCAAGAGAGACATGAAAAGATACTCAACATCACGAATCGTCAGGGAAATGCAAATCTAAACCACAATCAAATACCATCTCACACTTGTCAGAATGGCTGTTATCAAAACGAACAAAAAATAACAAGTGTTGGTGAGGATGTAAAGGAAAGGGAATTCTGGTGTGCTTTTTGTGGGATTGTAAGTTGGTTCAACCACTATGGAAAACTGTATGGAGATTGCTCAGAAAGTTAAAAATGGAACTATTATATGATCTAGCATTTTCATATCTGGGTATTTACCCAAAGAAAACAGAAACACTAATTTGAAAAGATCTATACACTCCAATGTCATTGAAACATTATCTATAATAACCAGGATACGGAAACAACCTAAGTGCCTATGCCCATGGATAGATGAATGGTTAAATTCATAATTTGCTACAACATGGATGAATCTAGAGGGTATTATGCTAAGTGAAATGTCATACAAAGACAAATACCATATGATCTCACTTATTATGTGGATTCTAAAAACAAACAAACAAACAAACAAACAAACCAAACAATGAAAACAGTCATACAGAGAAAAAACTGGTGGTTTCCAGAGGGGGTGGGTGGGGCAGGTGGGGGGGGGGCAAGGGTATTATGCTAAGTGAAATGTCATACAAAGACAAATACCATATGATCTCACTTATTATGTGGATTCTAAAAACAAACAAACAAACAAACAAACAAACCAAACAATGAAAACAGTCATACAGAGAAAAAACTGGTGGTTTCCAGAGGGGGTGGGTGGGGCAGGTGGAGGGGGGACAAAATAAGTGAATGGGTTTAAGAGATGCAAACTTCCAGTTATAAAATAAATAAGCCATGGTGATATAATATACAGCATAAGAAATATGGTCAATGATATTGTAATAACTTTGGGGACAGTTGGTTACTAGATTTATCATTGTGATCATTTCATAATGTACGCAAATGTCAAATCACTCTATAGTGCACCTGAAACTAACATAATACTGTACATCAATCACATTTCAATAATTTTAAAAATACTACATTATTATATAGTAGGTATCCAATAGGTGTTAACTATTGAACAAATGCATTTTTAGCAAACAACTGTTTCTTACCACATATTGGGTAACAAATTTATAAGAAGTAAATATAATCTGGAACCATCTTAACATTTTTTTTTTTTGCCTCTCCATATATGTAAGAATCTGAGAAATCATTATGCCAGGCCTCATACTGAGAGTACTTTCTGCTATCAAGGACTCTTTTTTTCTTCATTTCTTTTCAGAACACTCTCAAGGTTTGCATGCTTTTTATACATCTAGAATAAATTATCTTTCCTAGAGATAAGACTTGATCCAAAACATTTCTTCCATTAAAGAGAAGTGGTCATTTTATCCACGTGCCGATTCTTTTACCTGGAACGTGGATTCATGGCGGTCAGAATAACAATATCCTTCAAAGACCTTGTCACCAATACAGGCTTCTTTTTAACTGAATTCTAGGAATAAGATCTGGCAGTTTTGACTTAGACCCTTAAGGCATAGCTGCAGTGACATGTCACATTCCATTGCTTTGAAATCTCACAAGGAAAAATCTTCATACAAGTTTATGCTTCCCTCCTCTTGTCTTCCTTCTGTAAATACTTCTGATCTCTAACTCTATCCCATGAAAACTACCAATCAGTAGCTAATGTGCATTCTAAATTACACTAGGATATATTGAGTTCTGTTGACACTCGACAAATAGCACTTAGTCTTAATTAAAGCTTTTTGGTGTGGAAGACTTTTGCATAACAGTGTTTGAGCAGTCTCTTATGCTCATAATCTCAGTCTTTGTAAGCATAGAATGAGAAATAGGCATATGTGATGCTTTCATGAGTATGTAACAAATATGTACCACCACTGTAGGATATTTACAGGAATATTTGGAAGACCACAGTTTCCTCCCCACCCCTGCCCCATGTTCTTACACATTTGAAGAGTGTCAATTCACATCTCTATTAATTTTTATTATCATTAACTGGAAAGTTCTCACAGAATCTCAAGAAGAATGGAGTGGTAGGAAGAATAATGACCCACAAAAATAGCCAAATCCTAATCCTTAGAACCTGTGAATATGTTAAGCTAACTGGCAAAGAAGAATTAATGTTGCTAATCAGCTGTCCTTAAAATAGGGAGATTATCCTTGATTATCTGGCTGAGCCCAGTACAATCACGAGGGTCCTTAAAAGTGGAAGAAGGGACAAAAGAAGAGAATTAGTATTAAATGTGACTTTGGAAGAAAGATACACAGAAATGCAACGTTGCTGGCTTTGAAGATACAGGAAGGGATCTATAAGCCAAGGAATATGGGTGGTTTGGGGGAGTTAGAAAAGACAAAGAGATGGGTTATTCCCTGGAGGCTCTAGAAAACATGCAGATTGACAGCAGCTTGATTTTAGCCCAGTGAGACCGGTATCCGACTTCTGCAGAGATGTAAAACAAAACATTTGTGTTCTTTTATGCTGTTTAAGTTTGTGCTAATTTGTTACAATAGCCACATAAAATTAATACATGATTTCTTTTCTTTTCCTGTAAGAAGAGAGTGATGATAAATTAGCAAGGTTTACATGGGTGTTGAAGGGGGAGACAATAATGAGGACAAAACTAGAGAAAGCACTGTTAAAGGATGTTAATTTCTCATTTTGATCCATATGTCCATTATATGTCTTCCCTAAATGTGGCCAACAAAGTGCTTTGTTGGTGATCCCTGGCAGCACTCTTTGATCATTTATGATGGAAATAAATTATAATTTACCTGGTAGAGAGGAAAGTCCTTGTCCTCTTCCAGAAAATAAACAGATTATCATAATAAAATATCTATCTGAACAATCTAAGTCTGTTGAAACTGTTATGCCTTAAAGAGGGAAAAAAAAAAGGTTCATCCCATATTGTAGTTTTATGTAATTGCATCACAGCAAATTGTCCAAATGATGCTTGTTAAAATAAATGGGCTACTGAACAATCTTACCACAAATCTTGAAGACAATAAGACATTTGATCTTGTCGTGAATCATAAATGATTGCCTCATTATCTTTTATAAAGACTCAAAGATACTTTGAGAGATTGATTTCTGTCATAGAAAATCCACGCTCACCGATCAGTACCATGGACAGAACTAAGCATGTGAAAATCTTGACTAGAAGGTCGGTGTATATAAGCTGCTTAAAACACCAAACATGATAAACTTCTGAGAGGACCACTTTGAATTCTAACTGCTGTCTTCCTCTTTTCATTTTTTTCTTGCTATCATTTTGAGTGAAATGTTGTAATGAGCTTTGTAGTATGCTTGAATTAATCACCAGAATCCATAAATAAATGGTGATGGGGATAATGATCTAAATTCTATAAAACATCTAGAGTGTAGAAGAGATTTACTAAGTATTCGTTACAGTTCATAAAATACATGAATGAAAATTTAGAAGTTTGAAACATTATCTCAAAGCAAGATAGCCCTAGCAATTTTCTATGATATGTAGTTGATATACTGACACTGGTAGTGGGGGTAGAGTTTGGAAAGAGGAGATAAAGAGAGATGGAAGACAATTTACTTTATTCAAAACATAATGAGGTCATTTCTGTAATTTCAGACATTACTTAAAGTAGATATGGAGCATAGTTTAAAAAAAACTGACTGTCTTTCATGTTGCAGAGAATCTTGGACTGGATTCTGAAGTTGCTAAAGCAAACACCCTGGGTTTTGTTGGTTGTCTGTCTTCAGTCCAATACAACCATATAGCACCACTGAAGGCAGCCCTGCGCCATGCCACCATCGCACCTGTAACCATCCAAGGGATCTTGACAGAATCCAGCTGTGGCTTGATGATGGATTCGGATGTGAATGCAGTGACCACAGTGCATTCTTCATCAGGTGTGCAAGAAAATACTCAAGGGAACTTCTCACACCAGTACTATTTTGATGTCTTCAAGAAGCTTCCAGGCTAAAGGCTAATATTACCCAATTCCTTGCCTTGTATGATTACAGGTGGTTAAGAATTATGACTGATTTCTTAGTGATATTTAATATTTTTAGATAATCCTAATTTTAATGAGTAGTTAGAAATAGATATATGTGTATATTTTTAACTGTATGTACATTAACATATATGTTATAAAAAAAAGAGCATCAAGCTTGAAGGCACATTGATCTGGGTTGAAATCCTTGCTCTGACACTTATTGGTCTGGTGACATTCAGTTACATACATTTTTGAATAACAATCTGAAAATGTATATATATATATATATATATATATATATATATATATTTATTA